TTTGACGTAGTCTCGCACATTCAGACTGATGAGACCCGCTGCACGCGCCTTCGTCATGTTATCGCGATCATCAGTGAGCAGCACAGCTTCCAGTGGTGCCTTGCGCTGCTCAAGATGCGACCGATAGTACTCGGCCACGGATCTGATGGCCCGGTCTGCATGATCATTCGGCGTCTCTCCAGGCTGTCGGACGGTAGCGGTGGCGCTTTGAGGGGACGAACAACTCTAGCCTCAGCAAAGACGGAGTCGCATCACCTGCCCACGGCGCGCTCACCTCGCAGCTTCGTTCCAAAATCTGACCCAGCTCGACTCGGGAGCGTCGAGAAGGGCTGAGAGTCGATTGTACAGAGGCAGGCTGCGATGTCTGACCTCTTCAAGGACTGTCTGAGGTACCACGATGCTTGAGAAAGTGAGCGCGGCAGGGGTCTTTCCGGGAAGGTTGCCCAGCATCGACTCTAGCAAATCCATCTAGAAGCAGGCCCGGCAGACAGGATGCTCAGTGAACCGCAGGCTGGCACCTGCAACATTTCACAGCACCACTCACCTGTCCAAGCGCGACGTTTGAGTCGATGATGCAAACGAAGGCCTGCGTGCCGTTCGCGATGCTACCATTCCGCGTGCCAGTGGCGGGAATCTTCTCGGCAGCGAGTCGCAGCTTGATAGCGTTCTTGCATGATGAGACAGGACAACCAGCTACTCCGCAAGCTATGTCTTCCCGCAGATATCTTTCCCTAACAACTCGAACGACATTGCCTCTCAGTGTGCGTCGCCTGTGTGAAGTGCGCGAGAGATCAGTGGAGGCAGAGGTTGACGCCAAGGGTCGTTTCTGAATTGTGATCGCCGACATGTTGCAATCAGACCTTCCGAGGAGAATTCGGCTCGAGAATTCTGGTGCGAGCATGTTGAGATGCGTGTCAGCAGCGAGCATCACATTGGGTGACAGTCACATCGACGGGCGACGCCTTCAAACCCTCTCTCTCTCTCTCTCTCGAGGATGCATCAGTGGAAAGATGAAAAGCTTTTGGTTTTGATCAACACTCATCATCGTTGGACAAAGCCAAGCTGAGTAGTCTAGGACATGAAAGGCATCCTTTGCATCTTCTCGATAGGGTACAGGTCCAGCACTAGCGCGACCAAAGCGACTCACTCAAAACGTGGCTCGAAACCGTGCCCTGGCAGGAGCAGCCTTGGTTCAGGGCTCGTCAGAGCTGAGCCTCGAGCGATGTGCAAGTCTGAAAGGATCGGCAGAGGGCAGAAGCAAGCGCGAAAGCGGCGGGAATCTTGATGCGCGTGGTGAGCGCGATGACAGAGTCGTATCGCCAGATCGCCAGGAGGCTGAAGGATGCATGGGTGACGGTAGAAGGAGCGTCACCTGTGAGTCAGAGTTTGAGTGTGAGTGAGGCGTGAGTCTGAATCTCAATCACGAATGCTGATTCATCAAGCTCGGCTCCAGCTCATCCTCAACTTGACG